AAAATGTTAATAAATTAAAAATGAATAGTCTAAATTTTTTAGAGGCATTCTTTGGATTGGACTCTGAATTGTTTATCAAAACTGTAAGTTCGGTTATAGGCTACAATCTATCTATTCAATAGACTATTATGATTACAGATTGGCCTTCTTTAAACTGTTTTTTTCAAAACAAAAAACGAAAAATCATATCAACTTCAAAAGGTTCAAAAGTGACCAAAAATGGAATTGTGTAAGAACTTGTATCTTTCATAAATTATAGTAGAATTTTGAATTAATTAGGCCTACTTCCCTTAATTTTTAACATATCCACAAGCATTTTGTATCTAAGTACTTTTATTGATTAAAACCAAATTTTATTGATTAATCCCTTGTTTTCTTTGTTTTGAGTTACTTTAATTTAGGTTTACTTTTAATTTTAGCTTCCAAATTATTGCTGGAAAACCATTTGATACTGCCAAGAATATATTGGAATTTTTAAATATTAGAACTATAGAAGTTTGAATAAGAGAGCTTGAAAAAAAATCTTTAGCAGTTTTCAAGTTTAAATTAGAAAATAAACTTTCAGAAGCAAAAACATCTTCTTGAACAAATTCTCTAGAATTTTTTCCAGAAGATGTTTGGCTAGAAGTAGGGATAGAACAATTAACAGAAGGTAGCAAATCATCAACATTGTTAAATCATGCGAGATTGACTTTTTATTTTAACTATTTGTATTTCCAACAAGGCTGGAAGCAACCACTTTTAGAGTTAGTAGTTACTGGTAAACCCAAGGTGAAGATTATAACGATTAAAAGATGACAATATAGATTGCAAATTATATGAATCAGGAAAACAAGATGAGTGGAGAGTATTAAAAAAAAACTGTTATTTATTTTGTTATTATATTATCGTATACCATCGTATACACGTTATTTATTTTATTATTATATTATCGTATACAAATACTAACTTAGCAATGATTTGTATAAAAGGTTTCCATGAGAGGTCAGTACAAAAAGATAATAAGAGACGATGTAAAGTAGAAGACACAGTAAAAATGTTGCCATTCATCAATATAGGAATATCAATAAGATTGCAAAGACTTTTTAAAGACTTCGCCAGATACACCATATCATCCAGAGCAATAGAATGTGCCTCACCGCCTCTATCTAATTATATACAAACCTTTCTGTAACTACAGTTAACAGGTCAGCTCCAAATCTAGATAATTCAAATCCATGTTTCTTATGTCATCGACAATTAGAGCCACTTGTGAGCTTTTCAGGATGATTATTAATGTTACTTTTCACCTGTGAGCTTTTCAGGATGATCATTAATGCTGATTAGAAACAGTAAAGGGCTGAGGATAGAAGTTAACCTTGTTAGCCAAGTATTGACACTAGCGTGAATTTGCAGCGTTTAATGCCACAGGGTCTGTATGTTTTGTGATTGTGATGTTATTGTTATGTTTTGTGTTGATAGACATCTTGGCTTACCTTCTCGCTGGTATCAATCGTTAAAAATGATTATTAGGTTGTTTCGTTAATGAAACTTGCTACTTCTAATCATTCACTAAAAGCCAAAAGATAAGTTATAGATTAGTAACATTTTTTGTTTTAATGTTGTTGTTTATTTTATTTTTTTATTTTAGGTGTTGTAAATAGTTCACATAAACATTCTCAAAGAGTAAGTTTCTCATTTTTTATTTATTTAGTTTTAATTGTTAATTTATAATTTTTTTTCTTTTTTGATTTTTAAAACGAATTAATAAATAATTTTTAAAAATTATTGTGTATCTGTGCTTTTAATAATAATTTTATTATATTTTTAGGTAGAGTTTCTGCTGTTACACCTGCTATTGCTGATGTAAGTACTAAAAATTTCAGGAAGCTCTATTGCTGTAAGTTATTTTCATTTAAATTTAAATTATAACTTTATTTATTTTTTCTGTCTATTAAAGTTCCTTTATGCATATTTGCATGGAGTTTTTATAATTTAACTCGAAATTTCATTCTCCAAGACTAGCTAAATAAGTAAAAACACTTCAGTCTGTAAAATTAACGATTCTAGATAATCCCAACAATTGTAAAAAAAATTTTGGCATTTAATTTTCTTATAGTTTTGTATCCCTATAAAAAATTTCAAGTCAAATGTAATAACAGTTGGAAATTATGAAATATATTTAAAGTCAAATTGCCCAATTGTGCAATCTTTTTGCAGTAATTTACTGACCGGTCTGTAAGTTGTGAAATAATTTTAAAATGATGTATTTTCAGATTTCATGATTCCTTTATGCATATTTGCATATTGTAACCCTAATTTTTGTTCTTCATTACATAGTTAAATAAGTAAAAAAAACTCCAGCCTGCAAAATAATTGATTCTGTGTGATCCCGACAGATTTAATAAAAAATGGATCACTATTTAAAATTATTAAATGTACTTAATTACATTAAATGTATTAATTAAAAATATCAAATGTATTTAAAGTCGAAATGCATAATTGGTTTGTACATCCTTTTTTCTATAATTTGCTTACCGGTCTGTAATTTATGCAATAATTTCACTGTCAGGTCTGTAAATTATGTAATAGTTTTCAAATGGTGTCTTTTTTTGGACTCCCTGATTCCTTTATGCATATTTGTATAGTGTGGCCTAATTTTTTTCCTCATAGCACAACTAAATAAGTAGAAACCTTTCAGTCTGTAAAGTAAACGATTCTGGATAATCCCGACAGATTTAATAAAAAACTGGATAACTATTTCAAATTATAAGTCAAATGTAATAACAGTTCAAAAATATCACAAAATTAAAAAAAAAGAACCCATCTAATTTATCATCTATTTTGTTGAAATTCATAAAAAGTTTCCTGTTTATAGAGACAATCTTTTCTAAATATCTCTTGAATTCGGTATTTACCTCATCCCCACCTTTTGGCGTAACCCAATTCAATTGAATCAACTTATCAACCAAAGCACTTATCTTTTTCTTTGCCATTTTTTTATTGCACATTATTTCTGGGTCAAAACCTTTTACATTTTGCACAATGGCATATTTTAAAAGTGATTTTTCTACAAACTTACATGTCAACGACTGTAGAAAACATATGCAACTGTAGTTGAAAGCATAAACATCTTTTGGAGTGATTTCATCATTTTTTTTTTTATTCTTTATAATAACTATTCTTAATAATAGGTTGGATGTGGTGCCAGTGCTGGCTTTTTAAACAGTTTTTTTGTTTTTTAAAATCCAATTTGCAGAGACTATTTGCAGTTTTACATAGATCTAAAATATCAGCTATAATGAACTTTGACATTATATCTTTTAATAGTCAATAAAGGTCGTCATACAAAAAATGGCATAATAGGTTTAGCATATTGATATATGATTAAAAAAGGATTGCATAATATGAGCTATATAAGCAAAGAAATAAAATTTTGCTAAAATTAGAGGATCCTTAGTAGCAGATAAAATAACTTGGTAGCTCATGCAAGAAGGCTGCTTACCGTTTGGTAGAGATTCCCAAAACCTACATATTTTACAAATGCTCTTCCAAATATTAACAGCTGTTAAAGCCACCTTTTCATCATCAACCCATCGAGTATCACAAAAAGGAAAAGGAAATTGATTACTTCCAGTCACAACAGTAAAATCTTTCCGTTTAGCAGGAGAATCATGTAGAAGTTTTTAGAGAGCTTTTAAAATCTTTCTAATACCCCAGTCTGTTTTATTTTCCCCAGATTTAAATGATAGATGAATCGAATGAAGACCACAAGATCCAGTTGAAATTAGTTTGTTAATGTCATTTTTGGCACGATAGTTTTGTAACTTAGAGTAGAAGACCCAATTAGCATTTAGGCCATCCATAGATAATTGAATAAGTTATGCAGAAGATCTCTGAAGAAAAATTATGCAGAAGATCTCTACTTCGATTATGTACAATAAAGGTTGAGCAAAAATTTGATAAAAATCACTGACATCATTTATGGACAGTCCCTTTGTAGTATTACACAACATTTGCCAAGTTAATCCTAGTAAATGCATTTGACTTTAAGGCCAGACATTGTTTAAAATTTTTTAATAACGTGTTCTTTCTATATAAAACTCAACATGAATACATTTGGTAGCTATAATAAAGTTTTTAATTATTTTACATTGACACCTTTTTTTTTGTTTTGGTCAATTTAAATATATACTTTTAGAAAAGCATGCTTCAGTTTTTGCAAATCCTTTATTTGGCATCACTTTGCAATCCACACTTATAAAAGATGACCACAAAATAATGTCTAATAAAGGATTAAACTACAAATCAATTTTTCAGTCAATTCGTTGCCAGTCTTCACAAATATATCTGGCAATTTTTCTGACTGCAGAAAATTTAAACTTGTCAAATAAATTATCGCAAAGCATTAAAAAATAACTCTATGCATACATTTTTCATCAGCTATATATCAAAGTTTTATAGTTAGTTTTATTTGATTATTATTATCATTTATTTTATTTCTTTAAACAAATGCAGTTATCCTAAAACTTATTTGTAGTTCTAAGAAGTTTAGTTTTTTCTCAAAAGTTTACAGTTGGCTGCGTGTATTTTATCTATTACCTAAATCTAAATTTAATTTGCAAAAAATATGTAATAGATAAATAGATACATAACAAGTACAAATATCTTAAAATATTGTTACATAAAAGAAAAAAGAAAGGGAAGATTATAAGACAATAATTCTTTAACACTCTCATTATTGACATGAGCCATATTACTAAGGGACTAATATACTTATATATAAAACTTTCGTGAGTGTCACAATATTGGACCCTTATAGGGTCCAGTGTAGACATAAAATTTAGCTATTAAAAAAGCGTTGTTTTCTTGTTAACTTTGTAAAAACCAAATCAATTAACTCTAATAAAGCCAATAGAGTAAACAAGGGACTTGAAAGAAAACACCCAATGAAATAAAACCAAAAACAAAAGAAATACATAGTGCATTTAGAAATAAAAAACAAATTTAAAATGTCTCACCGTAAGCATTTTCGTCGGGGTCGCCCGAGTAATACTCAAGGACTGTGCGGTATATTACATAACCAAGCTTCTTGTACATATTAACCGCAATGTCATTTGATTCACGAACAAATAAATCAACAAAGAAACACTTTTTTCTAAATTCATATAAAAAGAGCTTATATATAATCTTCAAATTATAGTAAGACATAAAGAAGAAAAAAAACCAATCCTCTTTATGATCAAAACATTTTGATTTGCATTCAAGTTGAAGTTTGTATTCAATTGCAAAATCTTAACCTAATTTGAGGTTTTCATTTTAAAGGAATTTTTGAAAACGAAGTACATACCCAGCTAAAGTTGAAGCAAATATGGTAAAACTTTGTCAAATTTTTTTTTAGATCAATCAGACGACTTTTAAGTCCCCCTCAAAACTAAAGTTGTTCAGAAATCTTCAAAAAAGGAAAAGTAGGTTGTGTTCAGGTGTTTGAGGGGGATTTAAATGAAAAAATCCCTTTTTTTTTTTTTTCAAAACAATTTCTTATCTATATTTTCATTTTAAAAGGCTATGTCATCATATTTTTTACATATTCTCAGTTAAAACGATATTTAAGAAATCAAAAAATAAAAAGTTTAAGTTACGCAAGTAGTTATGAAATCAGCAAATTATTTATTTTCATACTTAAAGTTCGTTTAGATTAGGGTTTGCAATCCAGGCGGTCTTTCTCAATCCCGGGATTCTGAGATTGAGAAACATCAATCCCGGGATTGAAAAACAGATACAGCATTTATATAGTATTAAGTAGAATAAAAAACTGTACACTCTTAAACAAAAATATATTTTATAAATGATGCTGTTTGCATTACATCGTTACATGCACACAAGAAAAACATGTTAATTAATGTTAAGAAATTTCATTAAAAATAAGGAAATATATCATGTTTCATGTGCTTTGAAATGTGATTTCAGGAAGCACAATCCGTATTATGTTTCATCGCCCAACCTGTTACGAATTTTATTACTAAACAGTCCAGTGAAAGAAAACGCCCGCTCAGCCTCGACACTTGTCGGTTTCACCGTCATTGGAAATGAACAAACTCTTTCTAAATAATCACCACATGTTATCACAAACACTTTCTAAATAATCACCACCATTTTCAAATAATGTCATTTCTTTTTGAATTTTTGATAACAGTGTTTCATGCCTAACTGGTGATTGCACTTCTTTAACTACACGATCAAGCTCCTCTTCAATACTTAAAGTGTTATTTTCAGTTTCAGGTTCTTCAATAAAATCCAGCATATCAGACTCAACTGATGCTCTTAGTAAAGCAGGATTGGAAGCGTTTAATCAATCCAGCAATTCTACCAACAGTTTTCGACTTCAACGGAGCTTCGACCTTTATGCAGGTATTGCAGAAGCCCACACATATCAGTTCAGCGTTAATGTATACGAGCTATTAAAGCTGTACGCATTTCCTTGCTTGTATCATCGTCAGCATCTTTTAATTTTGTAAGCATAAAATTAATAGAAATGTCAGCTGTAAATAGGTTAGAATCTCGGCGACAAAGTGCTTCAACCGTTGCTTTAATAGGAACTAAAATTGTAATAATGTCTGATAATATTGTCAAATCATCGACAGAGCTATAGAATTATCTTGCACTGTGTAAATATCAAAATAGATTTTTAAAATCTTCTTGCAGTTTGACAATTTACACATCGCTGTTTACTCTTTCTCTTCTCGTAGAAAATATTTCCAAACAGCTGAGTTACTTTTAATTGTAAAATCCACATACGCCATGCTTATTTAAATTTTAATTTTAAGAGTAAACCTTGTAAAAAACGCGCGTTTTTTTTAAAGTTTAAAAAAGTTTATTTTGCAGAATTACAGAACAGAATAACTGAAAATAGAATTACTTTCGGAGATATTATACTAAATAAAAATTATAATATTGATGCACATAAATTGTTGTTATTTTAACATATTTTTTGATTTCCTCTTTGTTTTGCTATATCGTATAGGGAATCCCGGGATTGATATTAGACAATCCCGGGATTTCAGGATTATAAAAAAGGCCGAGATCTTGGGATTTCGAGATCCCAGGATTGCAAACCCTAATTTAAATAGACAGCTGGAAAAATTGAACCCATTTTAAAATTTTTTGTTAAATTGTAGGTTTTCATGAAACTTAACCAGTCTTGGCGATGAGGGAAGTTGGGGAACGGAGCCTTGTTTTTTTCCCAGCCAACTTTTTATTCCAATTTTTTTTGCACTTAAATCAACAAATAAAACTATTTTGAACTAAATAATTAATTTACCATTTAATAAAAATCTTTACAAACATTATCAAGACAAAAATTATGCATTAATTGAAATAAGCATTTTAAAATAAATAACTATTTCCTAATTCTAAAATTTCCTTTTTTTTTAGTTTAGAAAGTGAAATCAGACTTTCTGATGTCACTTTCTAAACTAAAAGAAAAAGTTGACCTTACTGTCGACACAGTAAGGTCAACTTTCAAAAACCTTGAAAGCTGACCTTACTGTGTCGACAGTTAAAAGACTGTTCTGCTTGTCATCTTCATTTTCATGTCTTTGCACAAACTGGGGCATCTTTCCGATTGCTCCTTCAGAATGATCATTGACAACAATTAACATTTTGGCCAAATTTTTAAAATTCTCAAACGTGGACTGGGTGTGCCAATATTGGGGGTGGAAGTGACAACCAATCTCCCACTCTGATTATCCAACCCTTTCATTGAAAAAAATAGATATGAAAACTCATTAACCAAAATATCTTATCTATTCGATCTTTGCTTCTATATTTAAAAAAATCTGGATCTGGCATTTGGAAGGAAAGTAAAGCATCAGCAATTGCTATTTTTTTATTTATATAAATATTTTTATTCAAATGAGCCAAAGAACAATTATTGAATCAAGATACCATGTGTACTAATAAAGAAATGCTAACACAGTGTCAACTGCCTCCGGATTGGAGCAAACTTTCTTATACTCTTTCATCTGAAAGATTGCATCAAGATTAGACGCATGAGATTAAATTGCATTATGTGCTTGAAGGTACCACCTTGAGTAAAAACATACTATGAACTCACAGATGAGTTTCAAATTTTCGCGTAGATTATTATTTTCTTGGACAAATGATTTTTTTTTGCCAATAAATTTTAAATAAAAATGTTTATGTTTTTAGAAATCTCTGTAAAAAAAAATTGCTTTTTTTGAGACCCAGATTGAAGTTTTTTTTTGGAAGTATTAGGGATTTTACCCCAAATATTTGGGAATTCGACCATAATATCTTTAAACCTTGACGTGATAGAAAAAAAAATTGCATATTTGAAATCAGAATGAGGAATACTATAAGGAAAACAAATTGTATGCACAAAATAGTAAAAAAAGTAAAATTTCGTTGGCCTGTGTTATTATTGTTAATTTAGACAAAATCATCAATTATGTGCTAAGAACAGTTCATATCTTTCATGTTTAGATTCTTATGGCTAGTTGATCCTCTTGTTGTTTTATTTGATCTTGTTGTTTTAAAGTAAAATTACACATCTGTCATATACTTTCCAACAACCTTTATTGTTTCTAAAATAAAACTGTTCAAAGTAAATTTACTAATAATTTTTTAATTTGATTGAGTGAACAAAAAAATAAGAACAAAATATACACATAAAAGAAAATTTAGATGATTTATTGAATTTATTTATATTAGATATTAAGTTTAAAAATTCTATTCTTAAACTTGTATTGTTATGTTTTTTAATCATTTCTTCATATCTTTTTAGGCGTTAAATCTACCAGCAACTGGTAGATAAAATGAAACTTGCTTTTTGGAGGTTCGATTTTTGATTTAGTTAGCAGTTTTTGGTAAATTTTAGATCGGATTTGAATCCAGCGATTGTAACAGCATTACATAATTGTACTTTGTAAACTTCAATGGCCAAGCTCTTACACGCTTTGCTGTATGATTTGATTGATTATCCTGCCAGACCTAAACTAGCAGCATTTCCTTAACAACATTGGCAACCCCTAACCTTGACCCTAACCCCCAACTGAACTAACAACATATCTCAAGTTTTCTGCTTTTAATTAAGTCAAATAATCATTCCCAATTTTTGTGATGAAATTCATGCCTAACTTTTTGATAAACATACTTTTAGTAAAATTTAATTTAAAATATTATTTTTTTATAATTTGATAACATTTGTGATATGATAAACTACTAATACAATCAAAAATCATTGTTCAAAATCTTAAAAAAAAACTTAAAAAATCATGTTATTCCTAATGTTTTGGCAAATTTTCTGATAAAAAATTTATTTTTAAAAATTATAATGACTTAAAGAACAAATTATTCAAAACCTAAAAGATCATTAGGCTGTACACTCTAGAATATTCTTAGGATTATCATAGCATTTTGGTTTTATACTTTTGCCTAAATTTTTTGGTAAAGAATAAAAAGAGAAAAGTTTAAAACAAGAAACTTGTAAACTAAAATTAAAGCAAAATTGAAAATCTAAAAAAACCATTAAAAAAAATCTAATTTAGATGATTTTAATGATTAAAAAAATTGAAGGAGAATAATAAAATTAATATGAAAGAAGAATAATAAAACATTTATAAAACATTTACAAAAAATTATAAATGTAATAATATAAACAAAAAAGGTTTACATTTCAGAAATATCTTCAAGTCCGCGCATTAAACTTGCAGCTAGTCCAAGTCTTCTGAACTCTGGTGAAACACTTAAACAAGTGACATGACCATGCCACTGTTCCGTGGCAAGATGACCTTCAGCTTTACCCATAACTAAAACCAATATCTAAGACCTTAATATTTCTTGTGATTGTTTGAATATATATGATTATGTGATTAACATTTGAATATTTTGTGTTTGATTGAATATTTATGCTTATGTGATTATTAAGATATAATAATACAGATACTATAAGATATATATATATATAATATATATATATATATATATATATATATTTATATATATATATATATATATATATATATATACTACAAGATATATATATATATATATATATATATATATATATATATATATATATATATATATATATATATATATATATACATACTATAAGATATATATATATATACTATAAGATATATATATATATATATACTATAAGATATACATACTATAAGATATATATATATATATATCTTATAGTATATATATATATATATCTTATAAAATATATATATATCTTATAGTATATATATATATATATATATATATATATATATATATATATATATATATATATATATATATATATCTTATAATATATATATATATCTTATAGTATATATATATATATATCTTATAGTATATATATATATATATATATATCTTTTAATCCTCTGAATTTCAGAAAAACTTTGTAGTTAATGACTAATTGAAGAACTTAGTGCTAAAAGTATTTAAGTCACTTGGTACATGTTTTGAGAAAATATACTTTGATCTTTCTTTTCACATGTTTATTATTTTCTGTTAAATAATTATTATACTTTAAAACTGTAATTTCTTTTTATTGTAACATTTAACACTTTTTACATAAATTTTTCATAAAGAACTCCTTGATATCATTGCAAAAATATCTCAAAAAATATATGTACATGTTGATTTGCCTAAAATATTCACTGAAATGAATTGTACGCAGACAAACCCATGAAAAAGCGAGAAAATAAAGCACACTGTGTTTACTAATAGAAGGAGACTGAACTTTACATTTCTTCTAATTAATAGGCTTGCCACCAGCGGCCGAACTAACGGCAAAAATAATCAAAGGATCCAGTTTCAGGTTTCTACTGATCAGTTAGATTCTCGATAAATGCTTTTCTACTGACTTAGCTAACATTCAAACATTTAAGATTAAACATTCAGTAGTTTAATAAATACAACAAGATCTTAGTTATAAGTCTGGTTGACTGGAATGCTGCAGTGTCTTACCAATACCAAGTTTAAATTAATGTGAATCTAAAGATACTAATTTATCTAGAAGAGTGAGTCCACATAAAAAGGTTCAGGGAGATTAAGACAAAAAACAAACTTAGGCAAGCAATTATGAGTACTCTAAAAGAACGATTGCGTTCATTTTGATGAAAACTGACTATATAAAAAAAAACTGTTTAATGTTACAACAGCCTTCTTCACATCTGTCTATGAAATCTGTTCTGGTTCCCAAAATCATATATTCTTCTGTCTTTAAGAGTGCCTTTTGAATTAAGGATCAATTCTCAAGGTTTCATTATTATAGTTATAACTGTTAGCTCTCCTATTCCCGGATAATGAAAACCTAGAGCAATAGATGAAGAAAGCACTGAACAGATTCGATGCATGTGACTAAACATCAAGATTTGGGAACTTGAGCTATGTTACACCTGAGTCTACAACGATGTGAGAGTTGGTAGGTCCCATAAGAATTTGTATGTATCATAACTTGATTAATTATCAACTATATATTATTATTGGTTAAAAAATAACTCTGGCAACCACATAATGCAGATAGCCAGATTGTTTTCCATTCTTTAAATATATTTATTCATGCATGATTTTTACTAATAATTGGAATTTTATACATAACTAAAGGTGAGATAAAAATTTTTTTTTTTGATATATTTGTAATATAGGAAACATGATAGGAAAAAATCTGAATGCAAATAAAAATTTTCCTTTTGAAACACTCTTTTATTCAGAACTATAGGGTCCCATCGAAAAGGATTTAAGTAAATCATAAAAAGTTTGAGGATTTTAACCCCTAAACCTTGAGCACTAACCATGCTCAAACACAAAATTTAACTTAGAAAAGAAAAATGAGATTTGGATTGGATTTTGAAAATTAACTTTTCAAAATCCAATCCAAATCTCATTTTTAATTAAAAGATCGAAAATCTATTTGTTAGGTTAAAATGTTTGCTTACTGTATCCCATTATTCTTCCTTCTGGAGATTCTGCAACCTGAAAATACTCTGGCCAATGAGCTAAGTAAGTCAAGTAAAAAGGTAAACCATACTGTAAAAAAAAATTGTTATGAAATACATACATTTTATTACATTTATTTATCAATTGATAAAAATATTTTATAATAAAATTATTATTCTATTTTTATTATCATAAAAATACTTTATTTGGAAAAATAAATCAAAATGAATTCTTATCATTGATAAAATATGATGAAAATTAATTTACTTAATTTTCAAAAAATTCTACTATACCGTTTCTGTTAAGGGATCCAGATTTCTACAAACAAGATTTAAAATTGAAACTTTTAAATTTATATATATATATACATATACATATATATATATATATATATATATATATATATATATATATATATATATATATATATATATATATATATATATATATATATATATATATATATATATATATATATATATATTGAAATTTGTAATTGAATTCAATCTAGTTTAATTTTTTAATACATAAAAGTTAGCAGGATATATCAAGCACTAAATCCTAGATCCAGATATGATTATACATTTTGCATTTAATATTTTTTAAATTAAGACAAAATAAACTATACCATACACGTTATTAAAACAAAATAGATCTTCACATTTAAACTGACGTAATGTTGTCATTTTAGTTACAATATATACTAAAATACAGAATAAACAGCAGCTTTAACAACTTTGAAAAGCATAGAGCTTCAAGCAATTAATAAGCATAATAAACATAACATTTTAAAAAAAAATCAACTCTATCTCTTAGCATAAATAAATCACAAAAGTATACTTAAATATTTTTAAAAAACATTTTCACTTACAATTCAAAATGTAAAATGTTATTTACATATTTTTAGATATTACAAAGTAATTTAATCTATAAACCAAAAGTATTCTTCTTGATTTCATTCATACTTAATCATAAATTTTTTATAAAAAAGTATTTATTTTTATTTTTAAAAATTGATCATGAATTTCAAGGATCTCTTTCCTTGATACCCTTGATCTTCTTGCAAAATCTCTACCATTTAAAATTTATAATCTCAAAATATTAATGTGTTCTTCATTTTGCATAGACGACAAATGAAATTGTCTTAGTTGCATATAAACATAAAAATCGTTTAACTCCTTGTCTGATGGTAAACATAATTCTCTCATAATTTCATCAGATGAATTTGGCTCTTTTGTAACTTTATCTAATAACACACTTGAAGGTTTTGAGCTTTCATATGATGGGGATGACAACTTTGTGCTTTCATCTTGTGAACTGGATGTTTCAGGAACGTTATTATTTAATGATGTTGGTGAATATATAACATTCGTAATTGAAACTAAAATAAATGCATAAACAGTATATAAAATATTTTTTTCTAAATAAAAAAGAATCTTTTAAATATAGGAGATGGTCAACATAATAGCAAATAACAAATAATTGCTAAATAATTGTTATAAAAAAACAAAAATGTTGAATATAAATGCGATAGATGATCCATCAACTTTTGACTATTGGCAAGATATTTATTTACAGCTCTTATACGAGACATTTTGGTAAAGCTCAACAATAATTTAGCAAAACATTACAAGCTAACAGAGAATCCATACTGGGGTTGAACTCAATTTACTCAGTACATTTCATTAAAGTTGGCCAAATATGGAGTCAAAGTATGGTGTATAAGTGATGCTGAAAACCTGTATCCATTCATTGGACAGCTTTACAATGGAAAATTGAGCACATATGGTTCCTTTGAAAATTATATAAATATGTACATATTATTCAGCTTCTGAGCAGCTGCTATGCAAATGAATAAGTACCTTGAAGCAAATGTTGCAATTATTGAATATATTATAAAGTTATCTTTAAAATATGAAGGGGATCATCCTGCAGGATAAAGGAATGTTGACGAAGAATATGATAATGATAACAATAACTGATTTATTTTTATATAAAACTATTATGAATTATACAGGCTTGGCCGGGAAGCGGGAGCGATCGCTTTTGAATACTGACCACAGAAATTATATTTAGTTGCGAAAAACTAGCCAGGTTTTTTAGTCATTTTGAGAACATTTAAGTTTATTTACGAAACAAAAAATTTTTGTTTTACGGACATACATGGAAACATAAAAAACTTGAATGTTCTCAAAACATCTTGGTGCGAAAGAATAAAAAGAATATTCATGAACACTAAAAACCCGCCAAATTAACAAACAAACTAATTCTATTGGTTCAAAAAATACGCTGACTAAGCGAAATAAAGTTTTAGAGCATTCTGTTGAAATGTTTTAGAAATTATATTATTCACGATTTGTTACGTTTTCAGATTTCTAGCATAAATTGTTTTAAGAATATATATTAATTGTTTACAAAAATAAATGTTTTAAATATATATTAATTAAATTGTCAAAATTTTAAAAATTTATCATAAATTATAGATTTTATTAGTACATTCTTATTTTTTATTTAAAAAGTATGTATTCTTTATGTAAATGTAATTTTGTTGATCTGTTATTTATCGTAATGTATCTTTTAAAGCAATTTTTATGATTTAAACAAAGACTTACAAAAATAATTGCGTTTTCAATAAAGTTATAATCGTTAAAGTTAATAAAACTAATCATGTAACAAACATATACAAACGCATACAAAGTAACTCGCGGATGAACAAGCACCGCGCCTGAGGTCACGACAGAACACAAACATATATAGAAAATAATTAGATATAAAGAAAAGTTTCTAGATAATGGTTTACTAACTTTAATTATTTTCTCTTCAGTTGCCATTCTTGAAAACTCGTTACACTTTTTTCTACTTTAATTACTAATTAAAAAGCCCACTCACTAAACATCATCAGCGATATTGTGAAGCAGTTTTGCTTCCTCGTCATATTTTTAACCTTTTTAGTTAATTTCTATCTTGTTAATTTAATTTCTATAGTAATTCAATGATTTAATTATTTCATTTGTTTATCTTACTAAGAAGAATTGATTCAAATATGTTAAACTTTTCAAACTATGCGAAACATAAAATAGGTATTAAAAAAATTAAGTTTTTTATTTATAAAATAATTTAGCTTAAATAAAACTAAAACTTGCAAACTTTGTTAAATAAAGAATATTTGTTTCCTTTTTAAACAATCGTAAGATGTTACTTTACATAAAAAATATCGCTTATTTTTATAAAAAAAATTATAAAAGCGATGTTTCAAAATTATTTGTTCTAAACGTAATTTATTTAGCTTTAAGTTTTTTCGCGTTTAAAGATATTTTATCTGCCTAATTTTTTTTTTGTAATTGTCTCTCATCGGTCCAATTAATCTTTGGCGCTTTTTTTTTTTTGCTTGTTAAAATGTTCTCAAAACGACTAAAAAATCTGGCCAGCTTTTCGCAACTAAATATTATTTACGTGGTCAGCAATCAAGAGCGATCTCTCCCACTTCCCGACCAAGCCTGATTATATGTAACATATTACTAAGCAAACAAACATATTATGTTTGTTTTCTCAATATATGTTTTTTTATCAAACAAATCACTGAGTTTCGAGAAAAACATTGGTAAAATAGTTGTCAAAGATTTGGCAGCACAAGACAAGAATCTGGCAGAAACATTTGGTGGCACAATACAATAGAACCCATAGAAACAATAAAATAAATAACAACTACAGTACTCAGCCATTCGCAGAAAAATTTATTTTATCTTGGAATTTAAAAAATATTGGCACTTCAACAAAAAATAAGACATGAAAACAAGAAAAGAATTATCCACTATGTTTGGCATTCATAATAAAGTATCTTTGTATTTTTGGGCCAAAAACAAAAAAAAGCAGTAACTATGCTATCATTAAATTCCATTCCTTGAAAATCATTCTCATAATCCTCAAATCAAGAGATATTTCACAACAAAAGCAGTGATTTTTTTGACCAAGCTTTAAATACATATGCCAAGAGAATCTGAATGATTAAAACCACAGACCACAGCTTATTTCAACTGAAAGGAAATAGATTATGGGTTATGCTGTGTTTGTCTCCAGAGCAAATTTTGAAAAAGCCACAAAACTTGAACATTGTGTTCTGTATGCAAATTCCCTATTTGTGATAAACATTGTAGTTCAACTAAAACATGTGAGGAGTGTGGGAAATGATTAAGTTTACTTTTTAATTTTTCACTTTGTAATTATCAATAAAAAATAACTAAAATTAAAAAAAAATTAAAAAAATAAATGAAATGATTTTTATTTTTCCCAGCTATCTTTACTATTGGTTATAATAAAAGTTGTTAAGATGAAAGAAATTGAAAAAAAATATTATCAATTATTTATTCAAAAGCCAAGTTACTTGAACAATTCGATAAACAATTTACTGTGTGTACGAACCCAGCTTTCACGTATAATGACCTTAGTGAGTACCTGGTCATTAAAAGGAGGAAGTATCAAGTTTGATAGTTAATAACTGTTATTGAATGATTAATTATATATTTTGTTTTGACTAAAAATTGGTGTCAAACTACTTCAATTTAGGGGACCCGAAACGACAGCCGGTTATAAAATTTTACTATATAAAACTTTTTATATTCTTGGAAACTTAACCTTGGAAACTTAACCACCTGGTCAGTAACCTGGGTACCTGATTAATGACCAGATAGTCAGTAATTAGGTAAATTTTGTTTGAAAAATTTTGCAAAAAAAATCTTTACTTGCAAACAAAAATTTGAGCAAAAGTTTAAAAATAAATAATTAAAATAGAAATAAATAACTATTAATTACAAAAATACTTACCATTATTTGGATTGTTAATTGTGTAAGAATGACCACCTTAAGTTAAAAAAATAACTTTGTTTATTAAATAAATCATCATCAAAACCATTCAGGGTGTTAGCCAGAATAAAACACCTTTTAACACTTCTAGCACTTATGGCATCTTCTAGCACTTATGGCATCTTCCAGCACTCCTATTAGGAATAGTTCCTATTATGAACTATTTTTATGCTCTCCCCCTCTTCCATTTTTAAACTTTTTTTTTATAAACTTTAATACACTTTTGTATCAATTTATTGTAAAGAATTTCATTGTAAATGTCAAGAATCTTTTTTGATTTTTTTTTTTTTATATTGTTACTTTACTTTTTATGTGTAATATAAATATAAAAAATAAACTTCAAATAAATTTAAAGTACAAATCTATAAATAATAAACTGAGAAAGGCTCGAAGAAAATATGGATGACAAAAAAACACCTTAATTTTTTTCATAGAACTTCTACAAATCATAACAAAATTCAAAAATAACATATTGTGTAAACAAACTGTGTAAAAAAATTATTGTCTTAAATTGATTAAAGAATACTTTTCATATAGATTTTAATTATAACTATTTAAATTTTCAGGAGTAAGGACATTAGTATCTATATAAGGACTAGCTAATATTCATTGTTGGTAGGACCAGCTAATATTCATTAAAATTTGAAGGAAAAATTTACTGAAGTTTACTTTGATATCAAAATTAAAATAGAGATTCGGTTTTCAGTTAAATTTAGTAAAATTGCAAATTTTTATTTGACTTTCACTCCAATTTGAAAACTTATTAATTTTTCTCAAATAAAATAAAATTATTTTTATTAACTAAAATTGAAAAATTTTAATTTTTATCAAGTAAATAAAAATTATTTAAAAATTACATTGTATATATATATATATATATATATATATATATATATATATATATATATATATATACACATGGCCTACTTAAAATACATGGCCTTATATCCTGCATTTTTGCCGATAAAATAGAAGGCCAGTTTTTTATGCGGTTTTGAATTAAAGATGTTTAGTTAAAAGTTGTATTTGTGAAAAATAAGAAAGGTTACAATATGTTGTGTTGTTTTCTGTTATTCAAACTATTCAATACGTGATGTAGTTCCAGTTTTTTTGTTTCTATTCAATAAAAATTTAAGAAACAGATAGATAAAAATTTTATATAAATAAAACTGGAGCACTAACTAAGCTATCTGTTATTTGTGCTAAACATTTACAAGAAAAATACTTAGAACATGAAAAGCAAGTCAAACAATTTCATTTAATATAGAGTTAAAACTCTTTATCTACTACATATCCCAATTTTATAGCAAAATCACCAATACCAACATTGTTGGGAAGAATACTATTTGAAAAATATCTATATATGGTCAAAATAGTATGGTCAATATATATGGATAGAAAGTCTCTAAAAAATGAGTTTACCAGAAATAAAGACGCAGAAAATATTTTAAAATTGGTTTAATATAAAATAATTAATTGTATTGCTGATATTGTATGTACTTAAATTCCATGTATTTTGAAACAAGAATGTTACTGGGTATTTTATTGTTTACAGAAATACAATATGGATATAGAATAAACAAACTTAAATAATTTTATCTTTTATATATTTATATAATCATCAAATGAGACAAATCTTTATATAATGAGACAAAGAGACTAATATTTATATAATCATCAAATGAGGCGAATTTAAACAGAAAAATTTTTATTACTTATAGATAGGATATTTTATATTTTTATGAGTTCGATTTATCTTGAACATTGTTAATGACAAACATACTTAAATGCTTTTTAAAAAAATTAAAAAATAAAAATAATTAGATAAATATCTAAAATACCTTTTTAATTATTATTATCATCTCTACTGAACATTAAACAAAAACCAAAACCAAAAACCTGACATACATGTTGAATATTTATTTCCTTTTACATTTGATTAGTTTTTTTTATTGCTTTTAAATTGAGAATTTCAATTTTTTAATAAGCAGCTGGGAATATCACCATGGGCTATTCTAGACCGTTTTTGACAGCTTCAACTGTATTTAGGTGCTGCCTAAATTAAAAATTGAGAACCTTTTTTTTTAATATTTTTTATGGCTAATCTTGTTTTTTTCGCTAAAAAATGCTAATATTAGGCAATATTTCCACTAAATTTCGCCAGGACAGGCTGAATTTTTTTTTCTAAAATAGCCCCTGATCACATATAACACAGTACCACAAGGCTGGCTAACACCCTCCTCCTCCTCATCATCATCAAAATCATCATCATCATCATTACCATCATCATCATTATTAAATACCGTGACTAATTTGTTGGATTGCTGCAGCATTATCTTTTCCTGTATCATCTACCAGCATCTGAAATAAATTAAATTTATAGGTAAATAAAGTACAACTTTTTATTCTTATCTATTTTTATGATGAACTTGATTTTATTAAAAGATGGAAACTGACAAAACCTTTTACATACAAATATATGTTTACATGTTTAAACACACACACACACACACACACACACACACTAATGCATAAATATGTATGTGTAACACATACATATTATATATAAACAGTGATGTATCCAGGCCAATTTTGACGCTGGTATACTGGTTTGGGCACCCAATTTTGCGCCTAAACTCTAATACTTAATGTACTTAATGCTGATGTACCAATCTAAAATCATAATTTTAAATTATAAAAAAAATACTAAAGATAAAATTTTAAATGTACTCATCAAGAAAATAAGTTCAAAGTTTGATTTTGACAAAAAGCACTATTTACCCAAGTATCTAAAAATTTTTGCAGCATTTGTCTAACTTTGATTGGCAGAAAAAAGTTTCACAAGTGCATAGCATCAACTTTAAAGAGTTAAGATTAAAGTTAATGTTAGAAGAGGTTATCTGAAGAATTAGAATAGAAAATCAAGTAAACAGCCAAACAGAATTAAAAAGTAAGAAAAAGTTGAATTCAAATTAGTCTCACAAAGGGTAATGAGGTCTGGTAAATTTTGCAAGTGATAAGATTCAACGAATGAAAAGTTACATTAAAGGAATCCCCAATTGCTGAAACAAGTTGTGTTCATATTAAAGAAAATATAAAAAAAAAACATTTGGGCTAAATTTTTTTGATTGAAACTAAATAATGAATGCATACCAACAAAATTAAAATTATTGTTTCAGTCGAAGCTTGCCTTATCCATTTTTTTTTTTGGTTGTCAGGGTCTGTATAATGTTAGCCCCAATCTGCAGACTTGAGAATTTATTCCATGCGTGTTAATTCATAACAGTTTCAGTATACGACATCATCACAATATTTTTGGGATTTAGTAAAAAGTTATACAATTAACATGATTTGGTGATTGTGGCAAAAAAATAATACGACATCTTGAAAGAAAAAATTTATACGATGACATCATATACCGAAACTGTCATGAATTAAACACACATGGAATAAATTATCAAGTCTGCAGATTGCCACTAACATTATACAGACTCCGAGAACCAAATAAAAAAAATGGAGACGGTGAGCTTCGACTAAAACATGAATTTTAAATTTAATGGTGTGTATTCAATATATAGTTTTAATCAAAAAAATTTAGCCCAAATATTTTTTTTAAACATTTTTTTTAATATGAACACAACTTGTCTCGGTGATGGGGATCCCTTTAAAGATCATAAATATTTGTAAAAAATAGAACTGTCAATGACAGTGAGAACAGTTTTTTACAATAATAATTTTTAGGTACTATAGCTATAGTCATGTTTTAAGTTTATCAAAGGATTTGATCAAAAATCATAATTAGTGCATGGCACTGATAGCAAAAATCTATATAGTTGCCTCTGTTCTAATAAACTTCCAATTCTAATCATCTTCCTGTTAACTCTAAACCTAATAACTTAATAACCTTCTCAAATTAGTAACTTAAGGCTCCTTATGTAGTCTCAACAATGCACACCAAAAATATTACCAGGGAAACATCCATGCACAACATGACACTGCTAATATTTTGATATTTTACAGTTGGTAATGGAATCAACCTCTCTGAGTAACTTCTGGTATACTAAAAGGTTTCCTCTTTACTCTTGAGTTGTTCCTTACTTATATTAACTATTCTTTCTGTTACTCTTACCTCTAAAATGGCTCTATTTGCTGATGACACAACTAGTCATCACTTGTTGGTCTTTTTGAACAGAAAGCCAAAAAAATTTATCTGATCCAGAAACTTCTGTGGTACCACGAGGTTCCATCTTTAGGTTGTTCTTTTCTTACTCGTCTATTCTCTAACTCAATAAATCTTTATTTGTCCTTGTCTAGAATACTGTTCTTCTAATGAAGTCTTCTTCTTTTGAGACAAACTCACATTGCAATGTTGTTGTACTTGTTCTAGCTGAAAAGTTTAACCATCTATCTCCCCATTGCAAAATTGCAAGGGTGAGACAGAAGACAAGATTCTTCCTCTTTTCGACAAATATTATTATAGTAGCTGCTTAAGAGTGTATTGTCATTTGTTCCATTAACCAAAATTTAATCTCATGTGACTCATTATTCAGCAAAGTCATATCCTTTTACCGTAACTGTTCTTTCATGCTCAAAAAACTTTCAACCATCTAATTTTTTCCTTGAACATTGGTTCTTTCAAAAATTTTCTCATCATCAGTGTTCTGTCAGCCACTTTTTTTGCTCTTTAACCTCCTTCTTTGTTCTAAGTTAACCTCTAACTTAAATAGTGAATTCATTAAAAAAAAAAAAAATTAAATTAAATCTATAAAATCTAATAGAAATCCTAATCTAGCAGTTTTTAATGCAGAAAAAGGTTTTCTAAGATTCTCAGAAAAATTTATAAATTTTTTTTTAATAGAATTTAAAAAAAAAAGTTTTTTTTTTTAAAGTTCTATTGAAAAAAAAATGTTTTTAAAAAAAAAAATAGAATGCTATTTTATTGACTTATTTCCCAGGTTTATTCAATATATCAACACCCGCTTACCATCATTATTAATATTATCAACAATCCAACTCCCTAATTATTGAAAATAAATACAGCTAATCAGTTTTTAATACTAATATGTACCAATGTTATTATTAAAAACTGCAATTTGCTGAAAAACATTAAAAAAATGTTATGAAAAAAAATATATATATATTATGAAAAAAAGTAATAATATGAAAAGCACCAACTTTTAAACGTGTTATAGCCTCAGAACTAGTAGCAGTAGACACTTTATCTGGTGTAAGTTCATTCTGAAATATCAAAATATTATAACATGTAGTTTTTGTCAACAAATTGAAATATTATTAGATTATAAATTTATTGTTTTTGTTTAACAAAAAATATAAACCTTGTTTTTATATGTCATTAATTTCTGCAAAACTCCTTTTTCTTTAGCATATTGAACAAGAATTTCTACCATTTTAATATCTCTTATAGAAACAGCACAATGCAATGCAGTATTTTTTGCCTTAAAATAAATTAAAAATTTTTTACAAAAAATTTACACTTGAAAAACAGGTAAAACTTTAGTTCAAAAATAAAAACACATTTTATTTATTGTAATAAAAATTCTAAGCAAATTTATTTTCAGCATTATTAAAAGTAAACAATATTTCAGAAGTAAATTTAGTTAGTGATTTAAAGCTGTTAGCTTGTATAATTCAAAGAAATTTAATTTAATTAAAATATTTGACATTCCTTGTTGATGTGAGCCATTCTAATTTTATAGAATGGCATTGATGTGTGCCAGGTGTGGCTAAAATAATACCAATTAATAAAAAGTAATAATTAATAAAAAAAAGGAAAAGTAAAAAAAATAAAGAGTAAAACTCTGATGTCTGACAGTGTTTTAGAAACAATTGAGTAGTTAAGATAGTGGGTAATTTAGTGATTGATTTGAAAAATGATCATCATCCAATATAATGTTTTGATGGACAGGGGGTTCAGATGATTCACTGAGGCTGTGGATAATATTTTTTTGTCATATTTGTGATAGTAAGTTAGGTTGACACAGATTTAGGAATCTATTAGTTAATGAAATTTGAAAACTCTGTTAAAAATTATATTACAAAAGCAAAGAGAAAATAAAAGAAAATAAACAATAGATCATATTTAAAAAATCTCTATAATAACGATTATTATCTCCACAATAATAATAAAATTTTTAAATATATATTTGTTATTTTTATGCTCTAATCTATTATAAATATCCAATAAATAAAAACTTTTTAAATATAATATTTTTAAAAATAACAAGTAAAATTAAAAAAAAATTTAAAAACCCAATGCTTTTATGTTATTAAAACACAAATTTTACTATTTTATTTTATTAACATGCATGTGAAAAAAACAACAAAAAATCAGGTAGAGGCAGGTCTCAAACCTTAGACATTCCGTTTACAAAGTCAACACCTTATCCAAATAAGCTAAATGCGCGTATAAATAGGAAAGCAATATACTTATTTTAAAAATTATTATTGTTCTATCCATATAAAAAAAAAATTGAATTATAACTAACTAAATTAATTGACTTATTGCAAAATTAATTATTGAACATTGTATTGTCATAAAGAAAGAGTATGTATGCAAAACTTGAAGAAAATCTATTATCAAGAAGTGACTCAAAAATTGATTGCAAGATTTGATGTTCACAGACAAACAGTTTATAAAAGCATTAGGAAAAAAATTTATTTTTAAAATTAAAAATAAAGTATAAGATAAAGGTAAAAATTGTACTTTTTTTTTTAAATAACAACTTTTTAGGAGTAGAGGAAAAGAAAATCTCAGATTATAAAAAATGTTTTGACTTTTATTTAGATTTTAAAATCTAGGATCTTCAAAAATATTTAGAAACCCCAGAAAGAAAAGGATTACAAGAGTTATAGGGTCTGAAACCTAAACATAGAATATTATAGTTCAAAAATAATATTTAGTTTAAATTTTTATGTGAAATAGTAGGTGAACTCTATGTTAAAAAATGGTAAATTCCAGGACATGAAATTCAGTTATTTTCTTACAATCAAGCTTTAAAGTTTGTGAACATTTTACAAATCTTCAAAAATGTTTCAGTAAAAAAATTAAAGACCCTAATATATTTTTTGAGGCATCTCTGGTTAAATTAAGAGAAATAATTAGTTGCTCTAATAGATCATAATTCGATTGGCTGTTTTATTGGTTATTAAAGTAAATAACAAAATTGACAAAATCACATTATTGAAATGTTTAATTGCACTTCACTTTAAACTTCAATTTAAAAAAAAATGTAATTGGCATAATTATTTAAATAATTCAATTATTAGTAATTATTTATAATTATCATACTAACTATTCTATTCAATTTAAACAATTTAAATAATTATGTTAGTTACATTATTTTTTTATAAATAACAGTGGCAACAACTTTTCTAGAAAAAACAGCTTGTGATGTAATTTTCCTGAAATAAATATTTGATAACATGGCTTGTCAAAAGCAAACCTCTAATCTTTTAAATACCTAGTCAAGAGAAGTCAGCCAACCACTCATCATTTTATCTGACAAAATGTTTGGCAATGGTTGCCCCATAACCTTTGTCTTTAAGTAGGCAAGAGAGTTAAATAGGCTGTTGGTATTATTTTTCATGCTGATCATTATAATCTTACCTCACAACATCTGATACACATATCAATTTGTTTATGTTTTAAAAGTATAGTAGCTGCATCATGATTTTTACGAAGAACTGCATTGTACAAAGCTGTTATTCCATATTCACCCTAAAGAAAAAAAACAAGAAATTAGATTTTTTTATCGGCTTTGTCTATTGAGTGGATCAAACATATACTTTACTACTAGTGTGTAATATTGACTTCCAGGTCTTGTCACAACACTTCTAATATTTTCACTCCTTAGGTAATTAAAATTAAAAAAAAAAATTATGCTATATCAAAACCACTTTAAAAAAGACATTTTATTATTTATAAGCTAAAATAATTATAATCAATTAAATAATTAGTTAAATTATATAACATATATTATAAGTTAATATATAACCAATTATATTATATATTTTTAACTGTTACTATATTCAAATTATTTATTATCAATAAAAACTTCATTTCAAACATGATTTTACAATACAACCTTCTTTAAGGCCACTATTGTAAAACACATTTTTATAAAATTCATTCTCTTATTTTCTTGGTTCGAAACCTTTC